TGATTTACATTATTTTGAGCAAATACCATTTCATGCTTCTTAAGATCATCTATTTCCTTTTCGGCTTTGTCTAGCAAATGGTTAAGAATATCTATGTCATATTCATGCTCTTTACAATTTGCACATGCTAGGTTCTTATCATTTTCCTCGTCTAAACATACAATTTTCGTTTCTAATAATTCCTTTTCTTCTAAACATGTGATTTTCATTTTTAAGGAGTTTATTTCCTTTTCGGATCTACTTAAATTCTTCTTTACAACTTTATATTCATTTTTCAAATTCTTGAAAGCAATAAACAATTCATTATAAGCATTTTGCAATTCATCATAGTTATTATCATCATCACTAGAAGATGAGTCAGAATTACTTACCTCAAAATTGGAAGATATGTTGTCATTTGCCATTAAGAAAATATTTGCTTCTACTTCTGAGTCACTTGATTCCGAACTTGAATCGCTGTTATCCCAAGCAATATAGGCTTTCTTCTTGAAGACCTTTTTGCCTTTGAATTCATCATTCTTCTTATTTGGACATTCGGTCTTTACATGTCCTACTTCACCACAACCATAACATTTTATATTTAAGGAAATACTTTCTCTTACCTTTCCCTTACCTTTGAATGGATGCCTTCCTTTAAATTTCATGAATTTGGTGAACTTCTTTATCATAAGACTCAACTCTTCTTCTTCATTTTCTGAGTCTTGTTCTTCCTTTTTGTTTTTACCTTTTCGAAATTTCGATTTTGAAGGCTAGGTTCTTCTTTTGATATTGACCTTCTTCTTCATTTAGCCTTCCTAATTCAAGCTCATGCTCTCTAAGCTTTCCAAAGAGCGCCGCCATAGACATTGTGGAAAGATTTTGTGACTCCGAGATGACCGTCACCTTAGGTTGCCATTTCCTATCCAAAGATTTTAAAATTTTAACATTTAATTCATCAACGTCAAAGATTTTACCTAATTCGGTGAGATGATTCACAATATGAGTGAAACGCTTTTGAACGTCGAATATCGTTTCTCCTTGTTGCATCCGGAACATCTCGTATTCTTGGATTAAGGAATTTTTACGTGCTCTTTTAACGTCGTTGGTACCTTCGTGGGTCACTCTAAGCATTTCCCACATTTCCTGAGCACTTTTACAAACAGAAATCCTGTAAAACTCGTCAAGGGTTAGAGCAGATGAAATTATATTTCTAGCCCTAACGTCAAATTGTGCTTTTCTATTTTCTTCTGCAGTCCATCTAGAAAAAGTTTTAGGAACGTCAACACCGTTCTCAGTAACTTTAGGAACATATGGACCGTTTAAAATAGCGTCCCAAACGCCTCTATCAACAGACTCTAAAAAGATTTGCATTCTTACTTTCCAGAAAGGATAATTTTGACCCGCAAAAAGTGGGGGTCTGTTGATAGACGCACCTTCGGCAAAAGTTTGATTTTGTCCGGCCATTTTTGAAAAGTTTGAATGACTATCAAAGCAAGCTCTGATACCACTTGTTAGAATTGCGCAGCAGAATGTTCGCGTGGTCGGACAAAAATCAAGAGGGGGGGTGAATTGGTTTCTTAATAAAAATTAGGTTTTCAAAATTTTCCCCAAATTTTACCGATTAAAAACTTTGTAAATGTAAATAGAGAAGAGAAGAGAATCTTACACAGGAGATTTATATTGGTTCAGATCAAAAGACCCTACATCCAGTTGCTAATCACTCAAACAGAGGATTAACACTGTCACTATAATCAAAACAAATTACAATTGAAAAGATAAAGATAAGAAAACACCTCTCTTGAAATCCACAAGAGATGATGAACAACTTTCCCTAGAGACGACACAACACACAATCCACTAAGAACTCCACTTAGTGATTCTTATCGCTTCTAGCCCACACCAGGTTCCAAAAGCCCCTTTTTCTTACAACAAACAGTTCTCTGGCACTCACAGCACTTAAATTTTGTATGAAAAATGTTGTTCTCCATTTTTGAGTGCCATAGAGAAGCTTAAGTAGAGAAATTAGGGTTTGGGAATTGAGAATGTCGAAACTAGGGTTCTTGGAAATAGGGTTTTCGAAAATAGGGTTGATTTGAAGTTAAAAATCAAAATCTGACTGAAATAATCGATTAAATGAAGTGTTAATCGATTATTACAGAGCCAAAATCAACAGAACCCCAAAACTCTCTGTTTTAATCGATTAAAAGGGTTGTTAATCGATTAACAGGCCTGTTAATCGATTAACAGGTGTGTTAATCGATTAAACCTGTGAGCAGATACAGAAAATGTTTTTTCTCACTGTTTTAATCGATTATTTCACTATTTAATCGATTAAAGCCGAGCCTGGTTGATAAATTTGAGCTTTTTGAAGCTTCTAAGGTGTAGAATATGTGCCGGCTATCTCAAACTCTAATATTACAAACTCAATCTAATCAAAACAGAGTTATTACACATTAAAACAAGTCTTCAACTCTCTAAGTCTTGTGTTCTTGAATCATCATCAAAATTAACAAGCTTCATGTCCATCAAGTTCAACATCAAGTCCTTGAATGTTCAACAATGTGCACCTATAAATAGATCACTCCACACTCCTCCAAAACACATACTTCACTTATCTTCTCTTCTCTCCTTTTCATTCTATTTTTATCACTACAAGAAAAATCGAAAATCGAAATTACCGATGGACAAAATCTGTCGGTAAATGTTACGGGTTATTACCGACGGATTTTCCGTTGAAAATATTTTATTATTTATTAAATTTTTTATTCCTTTCTTTATATTATAATAATTTATTTCCCCTCTTTTATATTTTTAGAAGTTTGAATTATAATTTATATTAAGAGAATTGTCACTGATAAGATTCGAACCCAGTACCTTACAGGTTGGAGGTCGATACTCCAACCACTAAGCTACCAAAATTTTTCAATTATAGTTTACAATAAATTATATTTATATACAAATAAATATATATCCAAATAAATATATAAATACAATATATTTATATTTTTATATTTATACATTTTTGTATTTATATATTTGTATATTTATATATTTATATATTTTTATATATTTATATATAATTAAATTTTTATTTTTTAAAATTATTTAATTTAATAAATTATTATATATTAATCTAATTATGGTTAAATTAATTTAATAAATAGAAAAAATATTTAATTTTTTAATTAGGTGAATAATTAATTTATTAAAATATATTTAAAATTAAGTAATTATTATATAATTTTACCAACGGATATATCCGTCGGTAACTAATTGTTAATTTACCGATGGGTTTACCGACGGATATATCCGTCGGTAAGTAATTGTTAATTTACCGATGGATATATCCATCGATAATTAATTGTTAATTTATCGACGGATTTACCAACGGATATATTCATCGGTAATTAATTATTAATTAATCGATGGATTAACCGACAGATATATCCGTCGGTTACTAATTATTAATTTACCAACGGTTATATCCGTCGGTAAGACCAAATTCCACAAATACTTTATATCCGTCGGTAATAACTAATTTTCCGATGACTACAAATCCATCGGTAAAAATCTGTGGGAAATAAGCGATTTTTTTGTAGTGTATTCTGCGTGTATATACTCTTTTAAGAGTTACTTGCTAGATTCTGAGTTCCTCAAAAATTCGGGAAGTTCTTTTTGTATCGCGGATAAGTCCTGAAGGACAAAGATTAAATACACCTCAAGAATAAATTTTTATTCTTTTTTTTTTCAACATTTACAACAAAAGATTCATGTCCTTGTGTTTTCATGATGTCTCTTCCAAGTAGTGTTCAAACCAACCTGCATTAACGTCTTGGGCTAAACTGAGTGAACAATATTGAAATGCTTGATTTAGAAGAAATGATAATGGCAGTTGAATGTGCACTTGAAAAATGGAAGAGAGAAAAAGTTATTATTTTTGTTTTATTTATTTTTATTTTAAAAAAAGTCTAAAAGGTTAGAAATAATTTTAAAAAATAATTATTGATACATTTTATAATATTTTAACAAAAACGAACTTTTAACTTTTTAATTGAAGAAAATCCTTTTAATTTGTTTTTAACTAACAATCCAAACAAAATCAGATTTAAGTTAAAATATTGAAGGAAAAAAATAATAAGTAAATTTTTTATATACACTGGTCTTTGTAATTATTAATAAAAAAATTATATAAATAATACTTTATATTATACATGCATTGTATAATATACCCGAACATATCTGCTATATCAATAATAATAAAAAATATTATTTTATCTATAATTCATAATAAAGTTAATATCTCATTTATATTAATATTTTATTATCACTTTTAACATAATATATTATTTCATTTTCTAAGTAATATATATATATATATATATATATATATATATTAATTACTTATTTAAATAAATGTTAAAAAATAACTTGTTCTCAAAGAAATAAATATTCTACTAACTTTTTTCATATTTATTAAATGGTTAAAATTATCATTGTGATATTTTAAAATGGAAAATGTGTTTAAAATCTTAAACAAATTATATCTAAAATTTTTTAATCTTCAATCGTTAAATAAAATTACAAGATTTTATCAACAATATAAATTAATAATTATATTATAATATATAAGATTTAAATTTATAATTTAAAATATTTTAATCTTTTATTGAAGATTACATGATTATCTTAGATTGACCATAATGGATTATATTTATACGTTGAATTTTAAATAGTAAATTCAATTTACTTTTAAATGTTATCTTTTCAGTTTTAATTTTTAAAATTTATCTTTTTAGTTTAAATTTTTAAACTTTATCTTTTATAATATTTATGTTTTGTAATAATTCAATTTATTTTATTTTTTATAAAATATTTTTATTTTATTATTATTAAATGAAATCAAATAATGTAATTAATTTAAATAAATAATTAATTAATCAAGTTAACAAATAAATATATTTTATTTATTGAAACATTCTTAATGGATACATAAAGTGTTCTATTATCATAAATTTTAAAAGTTAAACAAGTTTTAAAATAAAGAACAAAGCTATGAACAATACATAGCTCACAATATCATATGATATAAGAAAAAAAGATGAAGAATTATTAATTATAAAAGATGTTGGATATTCTTTCTGCATGAAAGGATGAGTGAGAAGCATTGTAGCAGTCCATCTCTGTCTAGGATCCTTCATAAAACACTTCCTTAAGAAACTTTTGCAATCCCAATCGAGTTCATAAGGTATCTCTGGTGCTTCTTGAAGAAATGCAAGCTTGAACATTAGGTCGTCTCTAGTTTCCAAGTCTCTCCATGCAGGGAATCCTGTTATCATTTCAATAACAATGCATCCAAGAGACCATATATCTAAGGATGCTTCCAACAAACCTACAAGAGACTCTGGTGACATGTAAAATGGTGTCCCTCTAAACTTGATCTGTCCAAAGTCAGCATTTCTCTCTCCTCTAATCTTGGATAATCCAAAATCAGAAATCTTTAGTTGAAATTTTGTAGGATCTTCTGAGGAAGGAAAGAGAAGAATGTTGTCCGGTTTAAGATCACAATGGACAATTCCTTTTCCATGAATACAAGAAAGTCCCTTCAGAAGCATGTGAGTACACAATATTACTTCCTTCTCTGGGAGTGGTCCCTTCCTTATTAAATCAGCAAGAGACCCATAAGGAGCAAACTCCATAAAGAGATTGTAGATAGAAAAACCTCTCTCTATAGTATAAGTATAAAAAAAACATTGAAGGATTTCTTTACAACCTATAAATAATTCCAATATTTTTTTCTCCTTTCGCAAAGAAGCAAATGAGTAAGGAAAAGGCCTCGAACTCTTCACAGCTGTAACCTTCCAATTTGACTCTTCCTGCGGAAACATGACAGCAGCTAGATAAACGGTAGCATATGAACCGTTTCCTATAATTTCCAACTTCTTCCAATTAGCCATGTATTACGATATTATCATACACGCATTGAATCGCTATGCACTTGTAAATGTACCAAGCTCAGTTCAGTGTTTCTAAAGCCTCCTATTTATATACAAAAATAATTCCCATCAAATCTATATTTTATCTTATTTAATTTAATTCATTTTATTTAGATATAATCATAATTAGTTACATCAATTTTATTATCTAATTTAACTATTTAATCAATTATCTTCTCTAATTAAATTAAGAAATATAATAATAAAAAATATGATAACATACTTTTTTAAACGATTTATATAATATTTTACACAATAAATAGAGTTATTAATCAATTTTATATAATTTATTTAGATACCATGATAATCAATATATTTAATCAACTATCTTCTGTAATTATGTTCAAAAAAATATGATAACATTCTTTTGATAAACGATTTATATAGTATTTTAAACAATAAAATAAAGTGATTTACGTAAAACTTTAGAAAAATAAAATGAAAATTTGTTAGAAAAAATGTACAAATTTAAATTTTATGTATCTAAAGATAATTACAAAATCTTGTTAACGAAAAATTGTACTTCTTCAACTTTCAAAAGAATAATTTCAAAAATAAATCATAGCATATAATATCTTATGCTTTTCACAAGTTTTTCAAATATTAAGTTCAGATTAAATAATAAAAAATATCTAACTGTTGTTAACGAAAAAGCTAACGAAAATTTTGTACTTCTTGAACTTTTAAAATAAATCATTTCAAAAAGTGATTCGATAAAAAAAATATTGATATTAAGTAAGACTGTGTGAAATTGAATAATAAATTAAAAATAAGAAAGGACAAGCCACATTTATTTTAATAATAATAATAATAATACTAGTAATAATAATAAGGATGATAATAATATTTGAAGGTATTTTAATAATAATAATAATAATAATAATAATAATAATAATAATAATAATAATAATAATAATAATAATATTCGAAGGTATTAGATTAATAGGATGTCACATCTTGTGCTTTTTTGACTTAAGATGCATATAAAGAGAATGTAAGTCTTTTCTCCAACAAGGTAAATTTTTACGATGATAACAAGAAGAAATATTTTTAATAAATTGATTTAGTTGTTTCAAATGAGAGTCTCTATCTACAATTTGTAATTAGATATTTTTATATTAATCTTATATGTGCTTATCTTTCTTTTACTAAAGTTTTCTTCCAAAAATAAATTTTAGATATCACCATGAAATGGAATCAGTTTAACTATATCAAACTATAAATTTCAGATATCAATCCTTTATAAAATATCAAACCACTGTTAATGCAACTCTATATGTTACCATGTGTCAAATCTTTGTTGCAGCATAGAGCATAACTTGAAACATCTCTTAATGATAGTTTCTATTGTCGCCACGTGCATCAAAATATTGTATTTTTAATTTTTAGAGTTTCATATTTTTCTATTTGTTGTATGCGGAGAATTTATTATTATTTTTCCTCTAAGAAAATATGTTTCTGTATTTCTTTCATTCAGATCTCATCCACATATTCTACTTAGTTTTTTTCTTCCGTTAAATCTAATTATTATAATTATAAATTGAACCTTTATTGTTTAATTTGCTCTCTGTTCCATTTTTCTCTTATGATGTTTGAGTTTTTCTTACTCTTCTCTTTATTTCAATTATAAATTGAAAATAATAAAGGACAACCCACACTTATATTAATAATAATAATGCTCCTAATAATAATAATAATGTTTATTTTAACAAGTACAATACAAACTATTTATCCTGAAATGATATATTAAGATTAAATTTTATAATACTTTTATTAATATTTAAAATAAAAAATTATTAAAGACAGGATTGTTAGGAAGTAACGTCCTTTTAATTCTAAATTTCAAATATACAATTTGTGACAACTTGTAATAAAATATATTTATCTTATAATAATAATAATAATAATAATAATATTTCCATCAAAATATTTAAAAATAAATTTTATTATAACTTTTTGTAAGTATAAAAAATAAAAATTTATTACTGGAGAATTATTAAAATGTGAGTTTTTTATTTATTTTAAATTTTAAAGATACAAGTTGACATAACTTGTTATCTTAAATATTTTATCTAACGTTAATAAAATGTATTTATATAATAATAATAATAATAATAACATTTATTTTTGGCAAAATATTTAGAATTAAATTTTATAGTATTTCTATAAATTTTAAAAGTAAGAATATATCAGTGAAAGAATTATTATGTCACTCCTTTCAATTTTAAATTTAAATATGCAAGTTGGGACAACTTTTCATATTAAATTTTTATCTAAATTAAAATGCACACAATAAAACATAATACTAATTTTAAATAAATAAGTTTTATGATTGAGTTAAATAATATTTGAAGGTATTAGATTAATAGGATGTGACATATTTGTGACTTATATAGAGAAAGAATGTAAGTCTTTTCTCTAAAAAGGTAAAGTTTACAATGACAAGAAGAAATATCTTTAATAAGTTCATTTAGATAGACATCTTTTGTCAATTTCATTTTTTGGAAGTATTTGTTAGGACAGTTGAAAAATCCTAAATTTAATAAAATAAAATATATTAAAATTTAACTTAAAAACCATTAAATTATTTACATTTTCTACAAAGAACTAAGCTTGTATGATAGTACTGGAGATATGTAAAAACGAGAATTATTACGATGGAGCCACCTAAAAAATTAATATTAATATTTTTGTAGTAATTACTTTTATAATAATGTTAATGTAAAAAAATGTGTCAAAATGGCTTAATCCAGGTTTAATCCATGTTAATGTAAAATAGAGTTGTGAAAACGGCTTAATCTAGGTTTAATTATTGGAGTTAAGTAAAAAAAAAAAATTATAACTGATCTATATTTCCAAATAGGCTTAACAACTATTAGCTTAATTTTTTTTATGTTAACGGACTAATAGACCAATTTTACCTTGATTGAATTTAAAAAAATATATTGACATATAAAAAAATCAATTAATTAAAAAAATATTTAAATAAAAAAAAGTAAAAATATATTTTAAAAATTTAAATTTTATTAATAAAATTAGTTTTTATTTAAGATATAATGATTTAATATATAAATTATAAGAGAATACATGTATTTAATATCAAAATAAGAATTAAAAATTTAATCTTTATTATTATTTATTTTTAGTAATTGATTAATTTAAAATAATAATTAATCTTAATTATTAGAATAAGTTATTATTAGATATTTATTACAATATTTATTTTTAGAATAAATGAATCTTGTCAAATTAATTTATAATATATATATATATATATTATAAAATAATTTTATTTTTATTTAAAAAAATTATTATTCTATAATGCAGTTCAACCTATAAACCCATATAAGTTATGCTTAAATAAGTTATGCCAAAATAAGTCGATTCAATTTAGGTCATAAATTTTTTAGGCTAGTATGACATTTTTTTCAAACCTTTTGAGCTGATCTATCGGGTTAAACCTATTTTAACACATTTATATAAAATAAATATATAATAAATATATTATTAATCTTTATTTAAACTACCTCAAAATTATCTATGGTGAGATAAATATTTTAAAATATAAATAGTATGTTTAAATAATTATGGATAAAATCATCTTTTAAGATGGATGTTAACGTCTTTTCTACATGCAATCAACTCTCAACTTAAAATCTCCCCGTATAAACCACAATTTTCTTTAATTATTGTTTTTAATAAATATTAGTGATGATTCTATTTTCAATTTTTATTATTGACCCTGTTGGCAAAATTTGGGTCATGTATATATATGATACATATTTAAATGTGTTATGGTCATTATTTATTAAGTCAAATAATAAAGTGATCTGACTAAATTAAAAAGGTTTGGCTAAAGGCATATGTCATGAAAATAAATTTGTGTAGAGACCATAGAGCAATTTCTAATTTGATGAGGGGTCAAATTGGAAATACTAAAACTTAAGTAATTAACCTAATTTTGGTTATTTTAAGGGGTCATGGTCCCCTTCTGGGAGCACGTAGACAAAACGTAGTTACAGTCCCGTTCTTTTCTTTCTATCCCCATTAAGAGAGAAAATCAAGAGGGAAATACAGGTGCTCTTCAGGTGGAAGACCATAAAATCAATAGTACTCTAAAAAGGACATCATAATTATGGCTAATTCAGGTACGCTTTCGCATTTAGTTTACACCATGTTTACAGTATGAGATTACTTTATATTTGATCGTTAGATTAAAGATCATATTTAATTATCAGTTTACCTAACAATTGGTATCAGAGCCACCCATACTTAATTCATGTTTGTTTTTTGGAAATTACATTTAATAAAATTTAGATTCTATTCAATTCAGAACCCTAAGTGGAGAATAATCTCCAATTTTTGTAAATCTTAAATTTAAATTTGGATAAATTTCTAAATTTTAAACCTAGTTTCGAATTTGGGGTAAATTCCCAAATTCCCAAATCAGACGAGACAGGCATCCTCACTCGCAAGGTACACACATTATCGTAGTTCTTAGGCAGATCCTTTACCATGGCTTTAGTCTTAGAGTAAAAGGAACCGGTGAAATTGGGAGTGTCCAGTTCTTTGAAGCCGATTCCAAATCCGAGAGGATGATCGGAATCGTACTCGAAGATGCAACTGGTGGCGTAGTTGAGAAGGAGGAGGTCGTGTTGGCGGCAGACGTCGGCGAGAGTGAGGGTTCCAACGACGTTGGTTCGGATGGTCTCCACCTTATGAGACTCGCACCAGTCGATGTTGGGTCGGCCCGTGCAACCGCGCGGCGTTGAAGACGTGGGTGGGCCTGACCTCGGCTATGTCCCTTTCGAGGGAGGCCTGGTTCTCGAGACGGCCCGAGGCGTACTGGAAGAGGATGCCTTGGGCCTGACAGAGGATGCCGAGGAGGCCACCAATCCAGCCCGTGCGGCCGTGGATGAGGAACTTGATCGGGTGGTCAGCTAAGGCACCCTTGGCTGGGAAGCCCATGTGTGAAAGAGTGAGAGAGAAGGAAGAGAATTAATATTCCAGTAAATTAGCAACTAAAGAATTGGGTGCATGTGGTGGTCCCCAGGAGAATTAATCCAGTAAATTAGCAACTAAAGAATTGGGTGCGTGTGGTGGTCCCAGGAGAATTAATATTCCGAGTGTTAATTCTTGTGCAACATGAAAAATTATGTATTTTATTAGTTACAATATTTGGTTTTGCTATATAATTAATATATTTAATTTTTGTGGGTAGTTTAATATTTTTTGAACAAATTGAGTCAAGAAGTTACCAAAGTAACATTTTTTGAATTGGGCAGTTCATGAAAAATATTGAATGTTAGTGTTTGTGTATATTCATGCGAGTATTAGTCGGCCCAAAGGAAGATTAATATTTGGCCGAATTGCATATACACTTGTAATGATAAACATATGATAATTATAAGAATTTGCTTTGTCGATGATAAATCAATCCAAAGACTGATTTGTTGTTGGACGTGCTTTATTGTCAATGTTTGATTATTACAACAAGATACCTCTAGCAGTTAATATTATTGTCCAAAGACTTGATATTGATGGTGCATTGGGTGTCTTGAGATGGGTTAAACCATTATTTGAATATATATTTTATTTATAATTATTTTTTTTATAATGTGAGCATAATTAATTTATTTCTCTTGTTTTTAATTTAGCTACAATTGTTTACGTATCCGCCAATTTAAATTATGTTTCGATCCTCAAAAGTATATTTCCTATTTTGGTCCGTTCGAAGTCAATTTAGCGTCGGTACCTAGTAACACTTGGTGGTTAGACTCAGGTGCAACTACTAACATCAGTGTTTCTATAAAGGGTTGCCTAAGCTACCGGAAGCCAACTGATTCTGAAAGATGGATATATGTTGGAGATGGCAAATCGGTATAGGTGGAAGCTATAGGGCATTTTAAATTGTTATTGAGTACTGGTTTTTATTTGGATTTGAAAGACACTTTTGTTGTGCCGTCATTTAGACGGAATTTGGTTTCAGTTTCTTATCTGGACAAATTAGGTTATTTGTGTTCATTTGGAAACAATAAGTTCAGTTTGTCTTTTAATTCAGATATTATTGGAACTAGCTCACTTTTGCCTTATGATAATCTGTATTTACTTGATATTGTGACCACTTATATTGAAACCCTTAATACAGAATCACGGGGTACTAAACGTAAAATTAGTGATACTCACTCAGGAGCATTATGGCACAGGCGATTAGGTCACATCTCTAAAAATAGAATTGAACGACTTGTGTTAACTGGAATCTTAGAGTCCATTGACTTCACAAACTTTAATGTTTATGTTGAATGCATTAAGGGCAAACAGACCAAAGTGAAGAGATTAGATGCATATAGAGCTACAGACGTCTTAGAGTTGATACATACAGACATTTGTGGGTCATTTCCTACACCTTCGTGGAATGGTCAACAATACTTTATATTATTCATAGACGATTACTCACGATATGCATACTTATTCCTTATACATGAAAAGTCACAATCTCTAGACGTGTTCAAAACATTTAAAGCTGAAGTTGAAAATCAACTCAATAAAAGAATTAAGTCTGTCAGATCTGATCGTGGTGGTGAGTATTATGGCAGATTTGACGGGTCAGGTGAACAGCGTCCAGGACCTTTTGCCAGGTACCTAGAGGAGTGTGGAATTGTCCCACAGTATACCATGCCGGGATCACCTAACATGAATGATGTAGCTGAAAGACGAAATCGAACTCTTAAAGATATGGTCAGGAGTATGATTTGTCATTCCAGCTTACCAGAGTCACTCTGGGGAGAGGCACTAAATACGGCATCTTATATTCTAAACAGAGTACCAACTAAAGCAGCGACCAAAACACCTTATGAGCTTTGGACTGGGCGACAGCCTAGTTTGAAGCATTTCCATGTGTGGGGTTGTCCAGCTGAGGCAAGGCCTTATAAGCCAAATGAAAAGAAATTGGACTCACGAACAGTAAGTAGTTATTTTATTGGTTATGCTGAAAGATCCAGGGGATATAAATTTTATGATCCCACATTAAAGACAATTTTTGAGACGGTAACTGCTACGTTCTTTGAGGATATTAAGTTTGGGGGGAAGAAAAAAATCAGGAACTTTGTCTTGGAGGAAGAATCGGTAAAAATTCCAGAACCGATTCAAACAGTTACTTTTGATAAAGTAAGTTCGGAACCTCCACAAGGCATTGTTAATGAACCCCTTACTCAAGATGATTTGGTTGTTCATGAAGAACAAACTCAAGATCCTCAAGAACTTGTGCATCATGAGCCAATAACTTTGCGGAGATCCACTAGAGAAAGAAGAAGTGCTATTTCGGATGATTACATGGTATTTCTTCAAGAACATGAGGAAAACAATGGTATGATGGAAGATGACCCAGTTAACTTCCGTCAAGCCATGCAAGGTTCTAACTCTGAAAAGTGGATTGAAGCAATGAAGGAGGAGTATAAGTCCATGCAAGACAACAAGGTTTGGGAACTTGTCCCATTACCAGAAGGTATGAGACCCATTGGTTGCAAGTGGATATTTAAGACCAAACGGGATTCTAAAGTTAATGTGGAAAGGTATAAGGCTCGTCTAGTAGCTAAGGGCTATACCCAAAAGGAAGGGATTGACTTTAAAGAGACTTTCTCTCCAGTTTCATCGAAAGACTCTTTTAGGACAATCATGGCTCTTGTAGCACATTATGATTTGGAGCTTCATCAAATGGATGTCAAGACGGAGTTTCTTAATGACAACATTGATGAGACGATTTATATGGTGCAACCAGAAAATTTTGTGCAGAGAGATTCAAAGAGTATGGTTTGCAAACTGACAAAATCCATTTATGGACTAAAACAAGCATCTCTTCAATGGTACTATAAATTTCATCAAGTAATTCTCTCATTTGGCTTCGAGATGAATATTGTTGATGATTGTGTATATCACAAGTTTAAGGGGAGTAAGTATATTTTCCTGATCTTGTATGTTGATGACATTCTACTTGTCACTAATGATATGGGCATATTGCACGAAACCAAGAAATTTTTATCAAAGAATTTCGAAATGAAAGATCTTGGTGATGCGTCTTTTGTATTAGGAATTCAGATACACCGAGATCGATGTCGGGGTATTTTGGGATTATCACAAAGGAGCTATATCGAAACAATTCTTAAAAGGTTTAGCATGCATGAATGTAAATCCGGGGATACTCCAGTTGCTAAGGGAGACAAGTTTAGTCTCAATCAGTGCCCAAAGGGAAATTTGGAAATTGAGGAAATGCAAAAGATTCCCTATGCATCAGTTGTAGGGAGTTTGATGTATGCCCAAGTATGTACGCATCCAGACATAACATACATAGTTGGGGTTCTAGGCAGATATTTAAGCAATCCAGGAATGGACCATTGGAAAGCAACAAAAAGGGTCATGAGATATTTAAAGAGAACAAAAGATTACATGCTCACATACAAGAGGTCAGACTAGTTGGAGATCGCTGGGTTTTCTGACTCGGACTTTGCAGGATGTCAAGATAGTTTGAAATCCACTTCAGGTTACATTTTCATGTTAGCAGGTGGTGCGGTTTCTTGGCGCAGTGTCAAGCAAACCCTTACAGCTTCATCCACTATGGCAGCAGAATTTGTAGCATGCTATGAGGCGTCAAATCATGGAATATGGCTGAGAAATTTTGTCACAGGGCTGCAAATTGTGAAAGGCATTAAAAAACCACTTAAGTTATATTGTGACAACAAATCAGCTGTATTGTATTCCAACAACAACAGAAGTTTGACTAAGTCAAAACACATCGACATTAAGTTCCTAGTTGTTAAGGAAAGAGTACAGAGTGGACAGATTTCCATAGAACATTTAGGGACAAACTCCATGATAGCAGATCCTCTAACTAAAGGACTTTCGCCCAAGGTCTTCCATGAGCATGTTGCTCACATGGGTGTTTTACGGTTTGAGGAATCTGTGGTTTAGTGGGAGTTAGTCATTTTCATATATTTTATGTTATATGTTTAGTTTCATATATGTATACATTAATTTTTGAACATATTTGATTATCTATAGATATACGATTTTTTCGTTCATTCATTACACTTTGTACATTAAGGTTATTATATCGATCTCGATAAGTTAAAGTTTGAACCAGTTGAAAATAGACGTGTACAGATCACCTTCACGTAATTTTTCATGCTACACATTTCATGATGAATCCATGTCGTTTGGTTATGTCAGGATGAGTAATCATTGTTGGTTTTAGTTGCGATGATGCAATGAAAAGCTGGTCTGGTTCTATATCCTGATATGATTAATGGACAGGACTTTTGGAATATGCTAAAGGAATATAATGACAATTTTGAGCTCATAAAGTCTAACACATTTGTGAGGTTGTAAGAAAATATATATTTGTGACCAGTGGGAGATTGTTGGCAAAATTTGGGTCATGTATATATATGATACATATTTAAATGTGTTAGGGTCATTATTTATTAAGCAAAATAATAAAGTGATCTGACTAAATTAAAAAGGTTTGGCTAAAGGCATATGTCATGAAAATAAAATTGTGTAGAGACCATAGAACAATTTCTAATTTGATGAGGGGTCAAATTGGAAATACTAAAACTTAAGTAATTAACCTAATTTTGGTTATTTTAAGGGGTCATGGTCCCCTTCTGGGAGCACGTAGACAGAACGTAGTTCTTTTCTTTCTATCCCCATCAAGAGAGAAAATCAAGAGGGAAATACAGGTGTTCTTCAGGTGGAAGACCATAAGATCAATAGTGCTCTAAAAGGGACATCATAATTATGGCTAATTCAGGTACGCTTTCGCATTTAGTTTACAACATGTTTATGATATAAGATTACTTTATATTTGAGCGTTAGATTAAAGATCATATTTAATTATCAGCTTACCTAACGAGACCCTGGTTACGATAATAAGAAAAGTAGAAATAAACAAATAAAAAATATATTGTGGTTAA